ACCCACAGGTTGAGAACCACTGCCCTATACCCAGGGTAGGCAACCTTGGCTCTTTTATGACTCGTGGACTTCAACTCCCAGAATTCCTGAGCCAGCATGGCTGGCTCAGGAATTCTGGGAGTTGAAGTCCACAAGTCGTGAAGGTGCCATAGTTTCCCCCCATGCTGGCTCAGGAATTCTGGGAGTTGAAGTCCACAAGTCATAAAAGAGCCAAGGTTGCCCACCCCTGCCCTGTACTGTTATTGACTACAGCTAGTCCTCAACGTACAACAGTTTGTTTAGTGACCGTTCGAAGTTACTAGACGCACTAAAAAAAAAGTAACATATTACCGCTTTTCACACTTACGACCGTTGCAGCATCCCCACGGTCACGTGATCAAAATTCAGACTCTTGGCAACTTGATTTGTATTTATGATGGTTGCCGTGTCCCCGAGTCACGGGATCCCCTTTTGACAAGCAAAGTCAATGGGGAAAGCAAGATTCCCTTAACAACCGGGGCGCTACCTTAACAACGGCAGTCATTCCCCTAACAGTTGGGGCGAGAAAGGTTGTAAAACGAGGCAAAGCTCCATTTAAAAAATGTCTTGTTTAGCAACGGACCGCTTGTATACAGGTAGCTCCACTTGAGGACGGTATTGCATCAATGGATTTAAACCCAGTTGGGACGATGAAGGGAAGATTACAGTCTTCCATCCACTTACTCAGGAGCAAGGGGGCATTGCATTCAATGGGACTTACTGCCGAGAAGACCCAGAGAGGCTTCTGCCATTAGGGTCAGGGCTTTTCAACCTTTTCACCCATTGTGCCACTTTTAGGATATGGCAATATCCGAGTACCACCAGTCGCCTAGCAAGGTGTCAAAAACTTGATGACCCAAAAAAAAAAAAAAAGGAAAAAAGTGATAAAGTACAGATAGTCCTCGACTTACAACAGTTCGCTTAGTGACTGTTCGAAGTTACAATGGCACTGAAAAAGGTGCCCCCCAAGCCACAGCCGAGCAAGACACCTGCCTGCCCGCCCGGCGGCGCTCTTCCTCCTGTCTGAGGTTTCCATTGTTGTGAGCATTTCTGTTGAGGATTGGCAACGGGGGTGGGGTGGGGGGTGTTTGGTTTTTATTCCCCCCCCCGTCTGCTGGGTGGTTGCAGCAGGTTTTGGTCACTTCACATGATCCTGGGACACTGTGACCGTCATAAATATGAATCAGTTGCCAAGCATCTGAATGTAAATGACAAGACCCTGGAGATGCTGCAACATTCCAGCTGATCGGCGCTTCTTTTGGGCTCAGCAGAAGGGTCAGGATCAGTGCTGCTTTCCAGCAAATTGGTGCTTCTTCAGGGCTCAGCAGAAGCGCCAGGATCAGCGCCGAGCTCCAGCGCTGATCCTGGCGCTTCCACTGAGCCCTGACAGCCCCGAAGAAGCGCCGATCAGCTGGAAAGCGGCACTGATCCTGGTGCTTCTGCTGAGCCCTGACAGCCCTGCAGCTCCAGCCGTCTCTCGCTCAGGCTTGTGCGGTGCTGCCACCGGTTCAGATCATTCCTTTTCCCCGCTACCACTTTTCTAAGATGGTCGTGTACCACCTGCCAGGTCCCAATGTACTACAGGTGGTACCACTGGTTGAAAAGCCCTGCATTAGATCATTTCTCTATCCCCCGCCCCATTTGTGACTGGAAACGCAGGGCCTGAGAACTAACGCTGCCTCTGACAAATAAAAAAAGGATTCTTACCCAACCCATTAAAAAAAAAAAAACCAAAAAAATCTCTGGGGAACTCTCACTACGAAGACCGTACACAATTTCACCTGTTTTGTCTTTCGATGTTCTGCAGTTCCCTGTGGTCCCTTTTCAGATGTTTGGTCAAAGAGGTGAAGTATTCTTTTAGCAGATTTTGAAACGGCTGTTGCTTCTCTGAGCTAATTATCTCACTGGGCGGAAAGCTCAGGTTAAATTTATCTGCCGCGCTTTTCACCTTCCTGGGTACCAAGCCAGCAATGTCGTCGCCGCAGTGCCGGCAGAAGCTAATCACCACTGAAACGTGGCTGTGAGACTCGCGGTCGGCGTTAATAATGTTTTTCAGCTGCTCGTAGATCAAAGACAGGCCCTCCTTGTCCGTGAAAATCCCAACGATCGTCAACTCGGCGATGAAGCGCAAGTCCGTCCTCAGTTTCGTGATGTTGGGCGTCTTCTCTTCTTTCCTGGCTTCGAAGTGCTTCTTCCAGACCTGAAGCAGCGAGGGAGCGAAGTCGGCGTACCGCTGGTGAAACAACGAGCAGAGATGCACCGAGCAGTTCACGTCGGAGATTTTCAGCTTGGCTTCCACGATGGCGGCCACGGCCTCCGCGATGTACTTGCTCAGGTTGAGGCCGTTGAAGTCGTGGGATAAGGAGTCCCTCTGCTGCTCGGTGATGGTCTTGAGCTTCTTCACAAAGGCGGTGTTTTTCTTGAGGCTGGAGTCCAGCCGGCTGAAGAAGTTATCTTCTGGACGGTTGTCCGAGGCGTTCTGGTTCTTGCTTCGGAGCTCCTTCCGGGCTTGGTGGCGTTCCCAAGCTTCCTGGTGCAGCTGGTGGGCTTCTTCTTTCTCTCTGAAAAAAGTACATAAATGGGCAATCTCACGGGTTTAAGTCGGTATTCAGCCTTTGGAAAACCTTTTGTAAAGACCAACGAGGACGCTAGGACTGGACGTTTGTTCGAAATAGTATTTTTACTTCACATTTATTGATAGGCATCCCACCATTATTATTTTCACAAATAACTCAAGGGAGTGAACCTATTCAACACACATTACTCCTCCTATTTCCCCCACAAGGACAACCCTGTGAGGTGGGCTGGGCTAAGAGAGGGGGACTGTTCAAGGTTACCCAGCCGGCTTTCATGCCTAGGGTGGGACTAGAACTTTCAGTCTCCTGGTGATTGGCCCAAAGTCACCCAGCTGGCTTTCATAGCTAGAATTCACCATCTCCTGGTGATTGGCCCAAAGTCACCCAGCTGGCTTTTGTGCCTACGATGGAACTAGAACTCACCGTCTCCTGGTGGATTGGCCTAAAGTCCCCCAACCGGCTTTTGTGCCTACGGTGGAACTAGAACTCACCATCTCCTGGTGATTGGCCTAAAGTCCCCCAGCCAGCTTTTGTGCCTACGGTGGAACTAGAATTCACCGTCTCCTGGTAATTGACCCAAAGTCACCCAGCCAGCTTTCATGCCTACTGTGGAACTAGAACTCACTATCTCCTGATGATTGGTCTCCTGGTGATTGGTCCCCCAGCCGACTTTTGTGCTTACAGTGGAACTAGAAATCACCATCTCCTGGTAATTGGCCAAAGGTCACCCAGCCGGTTTTCATGCCTACGGTGGAACTAGAACTCACCATCTCCTGGTGATTGGCCAAAGGTCACCCAGCCGGCTTTCATGTCTACAGTGGAACTAGAACTCACCATCTCCTGGTAAGTGACCCAAAGTCACCCAGCCGGTTTTCATGCCTAAAGTGGAACTAGAACTCACTATCTCCTGGTGATTGGCTTAAAGTCCCCCAGCGGGCTTTCATTGCTAAGGCGGAACTGGAACTCACCGTCTCCTGGTGATTGGCCTAAAGTCCCCCAGCCGGTTTTCATGCCTACGGTGGAACTAGAACTCACCATCTCCTGGTAACTGACCCAAAGTCATCCAGCCAGCTTTCATGCCTACGGTGGAACTAGAACCCACAGTCTCCTGGTAATTGACCCAAAGTCACCCAGCCAGCTTTCATGCCTATGGTGGGACTAGAAATCACCATCTCCTGGTAATTGGCCAAAGGTCACCCAGCCAACTTTCATGCCTCCGGTGGAACTATAACTCACCATCTCCTGGTAATTGACCCAAAGTCACCCAGCCAGCTTTCATGTCTATGGTGGAACTAGAACTCACCATCTCCTGGTAACTGACCCAAAGTCATCCAGCCAGCTTTCATGCCTACGGTGGAACTAGAACTCACTATCTCCTGGTGATTGGCCTAAAGTCACCCAGCCGGCTTTCATACCTACGATGGAACTAGAACTCACCGTCTCCTGGTGATTGGCTTAAAGTCCCCCAGCGGGCTTTCATTGCTAAGGCAGAAATAGAACTCACCATCTCCTGCTTTCTAGTCTGCTGCCCTAAACTAAAAATGGTAGACATCATTTGGAAAAATCAACCTCAGTTCCCTCGTGTGGGAAGGTTTTCCCCCCCAAGATAATCTCTAGTACAGACGTCAAACACAAGGCCCGGAGGCTGGATGCGACCCGCGAAGTGGTTTCATGTGGCCCGCAAAGCCATCCTGGAAACAGTGAGGGAACGGCCCCCACTGCCTTGGCCCTGGCCCAGGCCGGCCGGGAGCCAATGTACAATTTTGTGGTGGCCATCTATGCTGAAATGCATTCAGTCTTAGCTCCACAAGGCCGTCCGGAAACAGCGAGGAACCAGCCCCTGCTGCGTCGGTCCCGCCCCCTGGGTGCATGCTGGGGAGGTGTCACCCTTTGTGAGGAATGAAGAAATGGACCATGCCTTGGCGCTTGCCCCGGTCTCACCCCCTTCTGCCAGAGACCCTCAGATCTGTCCCACTCCTGCCCAGGCCCCCACAGGCACCCTTGACGCGAACGATGTAGAGCTGGCCATGCCCACCCAGTAGGCCACACCCACTCCATCCACGCTCACTCAGTAGGCCGCCCACCCTGGCCACACCCACCCGGCCCCCCGAGGGCAACCGCAATGCTGATGCGGCCCTCAATGAAATTGAGTTTGACACCCCTGCTCTAGTCCGACATACATATTATCGTTTTAAACTCAACCTGTTGAGTTTTAAACTTTTGAACAAATGCCTTCAACCTCTACACATTACCTTTTCAGGTTGAATGGTGGAAAACATGAACGTGGAGGTAAAATGTTTGAACAATAGGGGTGGTTGGCCTAAACACTTCTCCCAGGACCGTCCTCTCTTTTCCTCCCAAAATACAGGTAACCAGAAATAAAGGTGGACTTACTTCAACTTTGCAGCCGCTTCTTCCTGCTGCAGCTTCATCTCTTCTTCTTGCTTCTTCTTCTCTTCCTCTTCCAGCTTTTGCTTTTCCTCTTCCTCCTTCCTCTTTTGCTCCTCTTCCAATTTTATCTTCTCCTCATCTTTCTTCTTCCACTCCTTGTCGTCCTTTTTCCGCTTCTCCTCCTCCACTTTTTTCTTTTTATCTTCAGCTGGCTTTAGCATCTCTCTCTTCATGCCCAGCCTGACGTCGTCCTTGGCTCTGTCCCGGCTGCTGGCTGACCGTCTCTCTCCAAACTCCTTTTCTTTGTTACTTAATGATGTTTCTTTTTCTTCCATGCTGGCTGACTTCTTCCGCTCAGCTGGCATTATGTTATCCAGGAAGATCTGAAAGATTTGTTAGCATCGAAGGGTCATTACGACGTTCGCAAGGGAATCACTCAAAGCCTTTCATTTGTTTTTCAAAATGACATTTACCAAATACATTCCCACCCTCAGCCTTCAAAGCTACGTGGTGTCAGGTTTCTATGGAGATTCTCAACCATCCAGGTCATGGTTGTCCCAAAAGTGCTTTTCAAAAGGCAACTGGACTTTCTTGGGGTTTTTTTTTTTTTTCTTCTTCTTTCTACTCTTCCGAGAAGCTGAAGAAGCTTCTTGGATGAGAATCGAAATGTTTTCAAGAAAAAAAAAAAACTAAGAAAGTTCAGTTCCCTTTTGAAAAACTCCTTTGGGACGTGACGTCAGATAGCTGTCCATGTCAATACACTGAATACAGATAGTCCTCAAGGAAGAGAAGGACGAGGGGGGACATGATAGGAGTCTTCCAGTATCTCAGGGGCTGCCCCAAAGAAGAGGGAGTCAAGCTATTCTCCAAAGCGCCTGAAGGCAGGACAAGAAGCAACGGGTGGAAACTAATCAAGGAGAGAAGCAACCTAGAACTAAGGAGAAATTTCCTGACAGCGGGAACAATTAACCAGTGGAACAACCTGCCTCCAGAAGCTGTGATTGCTCCAACACTGGAAGTTTTTAAGAAGAGACTGGACAGCCATTTGTCCGAAATGGTATAGGGCAGTGGTGGCAAACCTATGGCACGGGTGCCAGAGGCGGCACTCAGAGCCCTCTCTGTGGGCACGCGCGCCGTCACCCCAGTCCTAGGCCTTCAGCTGGGTTTTATAAAACTTTTTCGCTTTAGGCCTCCACCGCCGTGTGCAAAAAAAAAAAAAAAGGTTCAATCAGTCAATTTCAACTTCTTGCGGGGAAAAAAAAAGATCTTGCAAAATTGGAATTGATTGATTGAACTTTTTAGTCCCACCCAGTCTGCTGTTACCACCGCGGCCACGCCCACCCAATGGGCCACGCCCACCCAATGGGCCACACACCCCCGGCACTGGACGATGCATAAGTGGGTTTTGGGTTGCAGTTTGGGCATTCGGTCTCTAAAAGGTTCGCCATCACTGGTATAGGGCTTCCTGTCTGAGCAGGGGGTTGGACTAGATGACCTCCAAGGTCCCTTCCAACTTTATTATTATTATTATTATTATTATTATTATTATTATTATTATTATTATTATTATTATTATATTATTATTATTATTATTATTATTATTATTATTATTATTATTATTATTATTATTATTATTATTATATTATTATTATTATTATTATTATTATTATTATTATTATTATATCAACTTACAACAATTTGTTTAATGACAACTTGGAAGTTACAACGGCACTGAAAAAAGTGACTTATGACCATCTTCACACCGATGACCGTTGCAGCATTCCCGTGGTCACGTGATCAAAATTAGGAGAGCTGGCCACCGACTCATATTTGTGACCGTTTGCAGCATCCCAGAAAAGATCCCCTTTTGCGACCTTCCGGCAAGCAAAGTCAACGGGAGAGCCAGATTCACTTCACAACCGTGTCTCTAACTTAACAACTGCAGTGATTCACTTAACAACTCTGGCAAGAAAGGCCGTAAAATGGGGCAAAACTCACTTAATAACTGTCTGGCTTCGCAACTGAAATTTGGGGCTCAATTGTGGTCGTACGTTGAGGGCTACCTATATATATATTGATTTATAAAGATATACATTGGCCTCTTTCCCTCTGACATTCTGCAGGTGTGTTAAAAACTCCCCGGAGAGCCAAAGCAGATAGAGCAGGGGTCCCTAACCCCCCGGTGCGTGGACCGGTACCGGGCCGCAGCAGGCCATCAACCGGTCCGCACAAACAAGCAAAGCGCCATCCCCGAGATACAGGCAGCACACAAAACCACACACTCTCTGGTCCACAGAAAAACCTCTCTCCACGGAACCGGTCCCTGGTGTCCAAAAGGTTGGGGAACTCTGATCTAGAGGCCAACTATATATTTAAAAAATATGCTCAGACCTGTAGCAGGCTGTATTGTTCCCTAAAAGCCGTACAATGTTCAGCTGCTATATTTTATTTCAGTCCAAGGACAGTATCAATTATTTAACCCTGAACAGTTAATAAATAGAGCGGTAAAAACAACATGTTCAATAAGCACTTGCTTAAACATTTTCCAAAGATTTGAATTCCAAAACTCAAAGGTTTCAGGTAGATGCTTTCCATTCAGAATTAATTTAGAATTAATTCCATTTCAGTTCAGAGGCCAACAATTTAATTTACAAAAAGATAAAACCTCCAACATAGCAATATATTCCAAATAATACATTACATAATAACACGGAAAGACAAAAGCACCGAGGGATTTTGTGGTACAAATTGGGAGAGAGACCTGGATTATCAGTTTTGAGAATGTCCACTGACTTTTCCTGCACTGTACAATTAGTCCTCGACTTATGACCGTAACTGAGCCCAAGATTTCTGTTGCCAAGTGAGACAGTTGTTAAGTAAACATGGCCCCATTTTATGACTTTCCTGGCCACAGCTGTTAAGTGAATCACTGCAGTTGTTAAATGAGCAAAACCGTTGTTAAGTGAATCTGGCTGTCAGAAAATCACAAAAGGGGATCACATGACCCCGGAACGCTGCAACCGTCATAAATGTGAGTCAGTTGCCAAGCGTCTGAATTTTGACAATTTTGACTTTGGGGACCTGCAATGGTCGTAAGGGTGAAAAATGGTTGCATGTCCCTTTTTTTCAGTGCCGTTAACTTTGAACGGTCACTAAATGAGTCAAGGACTATCTGTAAAAACCAAAATTTGACTGCATGAGACACAGTAATAGCAGGCTACCTGTCCAAAGAAGGGCTTTTTGATTTCTTTGTTTGCCTTCAAGACAAACTTGACTCCTAGCGACTACATCAGACATGTCAAACACAAGACCCGGGGGCCGGATGCGGCCCGCAAAGTGGTTTCATGCGGCCCGCAAAGCCATCCTGGAAACAGTGAGGGAACGGCCCCCGCTGCCTTGGCCCTGACCCAGGCCGGCAGGGAGCCAATGTACAATTTTGTGGTGGCCATCTATGCTGAAACGCATTCAGTCTTAGCTCCACAAGGCCGTCTGGAAACAGCGAGGAACCAGGAGAACCTTGAGCAGCAGACTTGAGGAAGTGGGGCTGGGCTTGGTGCCGCGGGTGCTCAAGGGCCAGGCTGGGCATTTGACCTCTGCTGCCCAGGGCTCCGGCCACCATCCAGCCCCCCCCTGCATAGCCTGAGAGGAACAGTGAGGCTCCTCCAGTGGACCAGGCCTTGGCGCTTGCCCCGGTCCCACCCCCTTCTGCCAGAGACCCTCAGATCTGTCCCACTCCTGCCCAGGCCCCCACAGACACCCTTGACGCAAACGATGTAGAGCTGGCCATGCCCACCCAGTAGGCCACATCCACTCCATCCACGCCCACCCAGTAGGCCGCATCCACCCTGGTCACACCCACCCGGCCCCCTGAGGGCAACCACAATGCTGATGCGGCCCTCGATGAAATTGAGTTTGACACCCCTGGACTACATGGACAGGACCACCCTGTTACCTTGGCGGTGTTTTCAGAAGTGCTTTGTTGGCCCCTTGCTTTCTTCCCAAGGCTGACAAAAGTGACCGGCCCAAGGTCACCCAGCTGGCTTTCACGCCAATAGCCCGCGAAGGAGAACTCCGGTTACTCTTTTTTTAAACCCGGCAGCTTAACTGGCGAGATGAAATTGGCTCCGGTTTTACTACAGGCATAATGGGCTTATTACACAGCAGCTGTGCAGCACACACACGCTCGGTTGCTTTGAAACACAGGCAGGCAGGCGGGCAGCCGCGCTTCTCAAGGAGGGAAGGAGTAGAGCTGCCTTCCAGCAGAACGTGTGGGGAGAAGGCCCTGCGATGGTTAAACAGTTCCAGATGGAGAGGCTGTTGAGCAGGCTGCAAGGCTCAGATTCAACACCCAAGACTAAACCCAAAGGTGCTTTTTCAGGAGGGAACTGGACTGTCTTGTTTTCCTTTGAAGACGTTTCGCTTCTCCTCCAAGAAGCTTCTTCGGCTCTTCTTCGAAGGCATTTCGCTTCTCGTCCAAGGAGCTTCTTCGGCTCTTCTTCGAAGACGTTTGGCTTCTCGTCCAAGAAGCTTCTTCGGCTCTTCTTCGAAGGCGTTTGGCTTCTCATCCAAGAAGCTTCTTCGGCTCTTCTTCGAAGACGTTTGGCTTCTCGTCCAAGAAGCTTTTTCGGCTCTTCTTCGAAGACGTTTTGCTTCCCGTCCAAGAAGCTTCTTCGGCTCTTCTTCGAAGGCGTTTGGCTTCTCATCCAAGAAGCTTCTTCGGCTCTTCTTCGAAGACGTTTGGCTTCTCGTCCAAGAAGCTTCTTCGGCTCTTCTTCGAAGACGTTTGGCTTCTCGTCCAAGGAGCTTCTTCGGCTCTTCTTCGAAGACGTTTGGCTTCTCGTCCAAGAAGCTTCTTCAGCTCTTCGTCGAAGACGTTTCGCTTCTCATCCAAGAAGCGAAACATCTTCAAAGAAAAACAAGAAAGTCCAGTTGCCTCATGAAAAAGTATCTTTGGGATGACTATGATCTGGATGACTGAGAATCTCCATAGACCCAAGACTAAAGTCATTCAAGGCTACTCGTTTTAGGACACGCTCTTTAAGGAACACCCCGTGCATTTGGCTGCTGGTATCTACATATGGGAAAAGTAAAACTTTTTCCCACCTCCTTCATAAGCTTTATTAACATGAAAGTAGGAGTGTTGCAAATTTAGATATTCCTTGAACTATGACCACAATTATGATCATTGCTTGGAGGCAGTTGTTAAATGAGTCACATCCAAATGGTCTCCTGAAACAAGCTCTACATGGGCGTTCCATAGCCACAGCTTGTTCAGATGGCAGCACCAGGGGGTTTTGTAGGTATATCACTGCATCCTCATGAAATGAACATCCCTGCTGTGTGAGCTGCACTGGTTCCCAGTAGACTTCCTGCAATTCAAGATTC